TAAATGTAAGGCAAGTGTGAATGGTCAGCCTTCAACAAAATACTGTGAATGCTCTGGCATTTCTGAGGCCACTGTTCTGAAGTACTGTGCCACCCACCAGCTCCAAGAATATGTGAGAATATGGCTCTCACCACCTCAGAATTCTGTGCCTGTTACAAACTTGTCAGGCTCCAGTGGGTTTTTCTCTCTGTTGACTACTGTGACTGACATTAGAAAGAAAGTAGCCCTGTAGTAGGGGACTTGGGAAGAAATTCTGTTTAAAACCTCCCATTTAGCAGCTCTTTGCCGAGCTGCCTCTTGAGAACCTTGGCTTTCCAGCATTGTCTGCTTCATGCATGCTTCCTGTGGGTTCAGGTAAGCCAGAGTCCAGGTCAACCTACATACTCAGGCTGGCTGGAGTTTCCCTGATTCTGTAGCTGACATGCAGGCCCATGGGATTTGGCTGGTGTGGTGGCTGTGCTTTCTGCTAGCTATACCCTTGGCAAGCAAGGCTTGGATTCTTCCAGACTGCCAGAATGGTCTTGTACTTGTTACCTGGAAAAATGTTTAGAAAATGTATCTTGTTTTCATGGTGGGAGGGATGTCTGTGTAGTCAGTGGTTTCATGGGTGCTTCTTGCTTCTTCCAAGTGACCATGAGCCTGTCCTGTGTGGGTCAGCTCCCAGCCACTGGTTCTATCTTTGAGGTGTGAATTGCAGGTGTGCCCTCCTACCCATAGGGGTAGGAGAATAGCTGATCCAGCTGGGCCTTTGGGCATTGGTTCAGCTGGAAGGTAATGGCAAGGTTACTTTAGAGACTGTTCAATGCAGGCTTTTTAGCCCCAGGGTAGTTTAAGCAGCAAAGGAAATTTTAAAACACAAATCAGCAAATGGTTCCTAAGGAGGTGGCTAACTTCATCTTAGCTGGTCTGTTGAGCTAGTGCTTGTCTCTCCCTGTGCCTTGCTGCCTATCCTTGCCCAATGTGTGCTAGGTGTGGTCTCCACATATCATTGCACCCAGAGCTAAGCTCTTCAGGTGTGCTGGGAGCTAGAGCCCAAGGAACTTGGAGAGTTCCTTGTCCTCTGGGGAGAACCATGTGTGTCCTGCAGTGTATCATCATCTATTGATCAATATTCTATAGCAGCTGCCTACTTCTGGAGCCCACTGTTTGCTTATGGGCTCTTCTAACTCTCTCCCATACCCACCTCTGTATTTCTTTTTCCAGTCAGTCCTTTGTCTTTTCCTGAATCCATCCACAAGTATGGGACTGGCTAGCATTCTAGGGAAGACTTTGTTGCCTGTTGGGGATTCTGAGCTCATCCTAGAATTGGTCAGGGGGTGGGAGGAGGCTGAACCAATGCTGGGATTATGGGTGTGAGTGCTACACCACTCTAGGATGGGTGGCCTACATACAATATAAGGGACAGAAAGAATCTTATTGTCCTCCCCTTTTTGCTCATGTTTTTGCTAGCAGTTTTCTGCTGCCATGAACTGTTGCTCCCCTGCCATGCCACCCTGCCTTGGAGCCAGCTGATTATGGACTGAAACCTCTACAAACTATGAGCTAAATAAACCTTTACTTTCTTAATTTTGAATGTTGGATATTTTGTCTCAACAGTGAGGGAAAAGTAAGTAAGGCCACTAGAGTAGAGGGTCCACAGAGTTACTACTGAAGAGGTACAGGGTAGAAGTATGGGGCCTGCTGATGGGCTGACCCTGCAAGATATAGACAGGTTGGGGTTTAATGAGCTTATGAGGAGTGGAGTGAAGGAAACTAGAAGGTTTGGCCAGATGGCTGTGAGCCTATTCAGGGCAAGCTATGAGCCCTGTAGGCAGTGGGCTACAGTGCTGACTGCTTCTGTATACATTTTGCACTGGGGAAAGGGCTTTTCAAAAGCAGTATAATTGGTTTTTTTCTGTGCCAGCTTGGGCCCTATGCCCACATCAGAAGTCCTGTCCAGAAGGAGGAACACGTGATAGAGGCCTCCTCTTCCTCCTCCTTCTCTTTTTCCTCCTCCTCTTCCTCTTTTTTTCTTGCTGCTCCTCCCTAATTCTTCTACTGCTTATCTGGTGTTCTTTGTTGGAGGATGAGGTGTTTCTTCCAGCACTCAATGCCATAAGAAGGGGGAATGGGTGCATGAAACTATTTGACTTGTTTCTTACTGATAGCCTATTTTGATCACATAGTCTTGTTTTCTTTTTGCTGTGCATATATTTCCTTTATCTAAAATGTTTGCCAGAATCCTTTCTGTGGGGTAGAAAAGTAAGATGATGGCAGTAGTCTGAATTTAGGAGCTGGCCAAGACTGGAAAGAGACTGGTATTTTGTTCAGAATCTGGGGAGAAGCCAGGGTTTTGTGCCTGCCCAGTACTTTACACGCCTCACCACTGACAGGTCTAGTTCTACCACTGCTATGCCGAGTCATTCTTGTGAGTAGCTGTCTATCATTTCCATAATAATCTGGTATATCAACTGTGTGTTTAATCAAAGAAATTAAGCATAAGCACTTATGTTCATGAGTTTTATAAAAATGACAATATTTTATGTTATATTAAGTGAATGTGGAATATATACAGAGTAGGAAAATAACAAAATACTAGTATGTTCAAAAGGAACATAATTATTAGTTGCCATAATGAACTAACTTTAAAATCAAAAGGAATTCTTTTCTCAGGACTGCTGTTGAAAAATGAAGTGTGAGTGGGTGTCTCACAGAAAAATTAAACCAGAAAAAGGAAAGAAAGGGAAGGAAAACAAACCCTAAGTTTCCCCCATCTCTAGTGGTTGCTGTCATTTTTTTCATTGTGATCGCTGGTTAGACACAACCTGCTAGAAACTTAGTTGCCTAGTACTTTTTCTAGTTTCACTGGTTTTTTAACTGCAGTTTGGCCACTTGTCAAGGACACATTTTCACTTCCGAGTGGCTTCATGTCCACTTTACACTGACCCCCAGGTCTGGCAGCTGAGGTCAGCTTGGTTCTCTACTGAGCTAGGAGCATGGGGTGAGGCTGTAGACTGTGAACTAGCAGTCTACATGCAGGAGGCTGGTTCTGCTTCATTAACCAGGAGGATGGATGAGATGACCTTTGTCAGTTAGGGTACCTTGAGTAGCAGGCTTTCAAGCCCTCTGTCCATTTGTGATGTGCAATGCTGATATGAATGCCGCAGTGTGGTTGCAGATCAGCTACTTCCTCATGGCAGGTGCAGCGTCTGTCCACTCTCTTATTGTTTCATGACTTTTCTTTCTGTTTATCTCTGTCATATCATGTGTGGGGGAAGCCTGAAGGCTCCTGTGATAGTGTGGCCACTTGTGATCACTATCTGTAGTGGAAGACTGTATTTGGTTTCTTGGGTGGCCAGTGATCTCTCAGAGAGATGGTGATTTGTCCAGGGACCTTTTTTTTTTTTTTTTTTTTTTTTGATCTTAGAAAGCAGTAGGGCCGCCTCTCCCAGTTCAGGTGCTGGATATCTTGAGCCAATATTTTTTTTTTTTCTTCCTTTTTTGAGATAGGAAACAGTTCAGGGTGGTCTTGAATTCACTGTGTAGCCCAGTTTGGCTTGAACTTATGATTCTCTTACCTCAGCCTCCTGAGTGCTAGAATTACAAGCTTATGCCTTCATGCCTCGTTTCTTGAGCATTTTCAGCCTGCTTCACTGGGTGTGAGATCTGGGCCTATGCTGGTAGACATGTGATTTGTGTCTTGCCTGGTAGCCAGTGTCTTTCCTTCCCAGCACTTCTGCCATATAGTTCTGCTTGTCAGTCTCAAGTTCTAGCTGTAAGCACTATTTCTAAGTTTCTTGGAAATTAGAGGTGTGCGTGTCAAGAATATATGTTAAGTGGCTGAGCACTTTGGTTAAAAACAAATAGCCCAAAATGTGGACCGGGAGGGGATGGAAGGAAATATACAGTGCGAATCCTGGGCATGCTACCCCTGCCAGAGGCTGTTGTCCAGGGGCTTTCAGGAGACCAGAAAGTGGTAGTGTGCTGCCCTTTGTGTTCTAGAGTTCTAGTTGTGAAGTTGGCTGTGTCTGGAAGCTATTTATTTTTGCAGCTGATGTTTGTTGAGTATCTGCTGCATGCCTGAGCCCATGTTGGAGGTGGGATGATCACTACTGGATTCCAAATGGTACTGATTCCAGAAAGACATCTGGGATCACCTGGTAGCCACTCAGTTGTATCCCCAAAGGAACAGCACTCTCACTGACAAATCATCTTCATAGTACAATTTCACAACTTTAGTCTCTAGCTGAATGTGTGAAATCCTGTAGCCCTTTTCACAGAGTTAAGTGGTGCACATCTGAAGGTTTCAATTCCAGCCTAAAAGTTTTGGGAATAAGTCAAATGCTACTGCAACACACTTTTTCATTTATTTGACTTCAACTCTGTCACTGCCTGTGGAGACAATTTTCCTAGGTAGATGGTACATAGGAGAGGGGGTGGTCAAGTCACTCTCACGACAGCCTTCCCAGGAAGCTTTTGGACGTATGCATTTGGACTGTGGAATGGATCCACATCAGTATTTAATCTCAGCCCAGGCATCTAAAATAAAAAGTAAATTTCTCAAGTGTGTTATGAGAAAGAAGACCATTCTGGTGAATTTTTTTTCCTACAGAATTACAGGCAATAGAGCATGTTCTTAAAGCTGGGGTGGGAGGTAGTGTGGCCTCTCACCTCCCAAGTGTGGCCCCAGGTAAGAGGGTGTGTAGAGCTAATAGCTGGGCATATGGGCATATTCTCTGGGTTACATCCTGGCCAACTGTATTGACATCTGTGGTTCTCCAGGGAATTTTGGCAGAATTAAACCAGGTTAATACATTCCAAATAGGACCCAATAGCAAGTGAAAAAGATCTTGCATATGTGGCTCTGTTAGCAATGTAAAGGTAATTGGACACTCAGACTGGGTAAAGCTCTGTATTTTCTTAAGTTATTAATTTAATCAATAGGAAAAAAATCCTTCTAGATGCTGAAAATATTTAATAAAATTCAACGTCTTTCCTTAACTAAAGTATGATTATTCTTCATACTTACCCTGAAAGGGAAGTATAGTGATCACAAAGGTAGTTTTCCTAGAGCGAAGTTCATCCATTGTGCTGCATATGTACTGATCTTTCAGTTTTTCCCAAATGTGAAAAATTCAACTGCATAATTTATGGCAGTTGGAGACTGTTTGCCTTCTCCCCTGATAAAAATAAGGCTTACAGATATGTATTGGAGAGAGTCAAGGCTTTGAAAAGTTGTGTGTTTGGTTAAGGTTTATGTTTATATTTATAAAGATTTATTTTTTATGAATATAAACATAAGGTCTGGGGTTTCTAGCTTTTGTGCTGCTCAGCAGTGGGTCTTTGCTTTAGAGATAATGGCATTTATAACTAAAGCGTGATGCTGGGTGTGGTGGTACTTGCCTCTAATTCAGGCACTTTGGGAGACCAAGGTAGGAGGACCACAAGTTCTAGCTCAGTCTGGGCCAGTTGAAAAAGTTTCTCTCAAAATAAAAATAAGGGGTTCAGTGTGAAGGCCCGGGCTTTAATGCCCAGTACCTGGAAACAAGTAGATGTTTCTATAATGTGGTTTTAAAACATGGGAATCTAACATTTTTGCTAGAGTCAGGGATAACACAAAGATGATCTATTCATCCATGGTTGCCTAAAATGGCTCCAGAAGCTCTTTCTAGTACAGATAGCAATTAAATAGGAGAAAGAAGACTGTAATATTGGGATATTAGAAGGGAGAGACAAATATGATTCTACATCTGGAAGATGCAAGAGAAGCATGAAAATTTGAAATACAAACTGGGTATAGTAGTATATGCCTATAATCCCAGCACCCTAGGAGGCTGAGTTAGGAGGATTGTAAGTGAAGCTTAGCCCGGGCAACTTAGTGACTTGGTGAGACCTTGTCTGAAAATAAAAAATAAAAAATGATAAAGGGGCTGGGTGGCTCGGTGTGAAACTTTGAGTTCAGTCCTCAGTACTGAAGAAAAAAACCCTTGCAATATGTAATAAAAGAATTTATAATCAAGTCACTAAAAACAAACTAAACAAACTAAAGTACAAATCAGATACATTCTTGTATACCTAACATAAATAGCAGTGAATCTATGTATGGAATAAGAGTTGTAGACATGGACTAAAGAAATGTGATCTTCGTTTGAAGCAAGGGAGGAGATGAGAAGAGACTAGAATAAATGGAAGCCTGGTTTGTGAGCACACCTCCTAATTTGAGGAGTTACTGTTGCTTATCCTGCTGGTGGAGGTGCTGCTGGTTGCAGTGATAGAGTGATGGACTTCCAAGATTCTTATCCTGGGAAGTTTGGAGGAGAGAGGTTTCTGAGTAGGCTAGGTGACTCAGTGTATCTCACTTCTCTTCATACTGCCACACTTGTAGAGATGATGATACATCCCTGCACTACATTCTGCAAAAGCAGCGAAGCGGGCAATATCCTTAGACAATCAGAGCACAAAATCATTTTTCCCTGGTTTCCTTGAGATGTCTTGATCTGGAATAACTAGGTCTGGCTGCCATGTCTTTCTTGCCATGAATGTCCTGTGTAACTGCTATGTGTTTACAACCCAGACACTGACACAGGCATTTAACTGTAGGACAGACTCAGGATTCTTTTTGACTTTGCCAGCATCCCCACTCTGCCCAGGGTTCCCTCCATGCCAGTTTTTTTCATGTCATCTCTTTAGTGCCTCCAGTTTGTGGTACTTGTTCATGTCTTTTTACAGTGCTGAGAACTTGCTAGGAATTTTGTTGCCTGTTTTTTTTAATACTTTTTTTTTCTTTTTTTATTGATACCGGGGATCGAACTCATGACCACCTGCTTGCAAGGCAGGTGCTTATGTCGCTGAGCTAAAACCCCAGCCCCTTTGTTGCCTGTTTTACAGTTCAGGTTTTTCTGATGTCTTCCATAGTTAGGATGGGGTTCAGGGTTTTGGAGGAAAACCCAGACATGAAGTACTATCCCATCCTTCCAGGATACCTGCTTTGTATAGGAGACAGCTTGGCACAGTTTCCCCATGGCTTTGGAGGGCTACTTCTACTTTGGAGGGCTCTTCACTGTCCATTGACTACCCCATTTCTTCTCTGAACACTAGAAGCCACTTGCTTATGGGGAGAGCAGTCAGGCCCCCACTCCGGTGGCTTGTGCATGTAGTATTTGGAGAACTCCTCTGAGGAAGATCTGTGTCTCCCTCTCAGCTTGTTTATTTACTCATTCATCCATGTCAGTAGGGACCCACAGTGTTTATTTTATTCTTTAGATTACAATCTACTGAAGTGGGTGCCTTGTTGTTCAAGTGATCTTGGCTTTGCCCCCTGGAGCCTTCTGGGATCTTGGTCCCCCAGTCCCATTACTGCTTGTACGTTTTTCATTTTTGGTACTGTGACTTATCTAAGTGTTCCCTGCTCTGTCCTGAACTTACCTGGGTTTCTGAGGAGCTATGGCTTTTCATTTTGGAGAACATCCTGGAAATCATGATATGGTTGCTGAGTGTGCTTGGTACTCGTGGCGCATCATGTTTGGCTTTCCTATTAGGGAGGAAATCTCCTAAGAGGAGCAACAGATTTATCATATCTTGTCCAAGGCTGAGATTCCTTTTGCCTAGGTCAGATATGGGAGGCAGTACTGCCGTGAATGGCTTAGATGACCCCAGGTTTGTGCCCCCGGGCTGGGTGCTTCTGCCCCAGCAGACACTGAATCCTCTCTTCTAGACTACCAGTAGTGTGTTTCTAATCTCAGCATAATTTTGGGGGGATTTTTAGCTGATTTAAAGGTTTACATGTTAGCAGCAGCCAGGAAAAATTCTGAGAAACAGTCATGAGTAGGGACCACTGTAGCAGGTGTTAAAACACATCCTCAGGCTTTGGGAATCTGACCAGTCTGAAACAGGGTGAGAAGGATGGGTTAGAATCAAGAGTAACCCTGAGGCGTGTGGGCATTAGGGTAGGGTGCAGGTCACAGATCTAGTTGGAGGATGGATTTATTTTCAGTGTTTTTGGAGGAATGAAGTAACCTGGTTTAAAAAAAAGCTGACTCCCTTTCCTACTCCTTACATTGTGAATGGGTTACAGGTTGACTGAATCAAGTCTAGGAGACTGTTGGTGCGAGGCATCAGTATTTTCTGTGTCTCTCAGAAAGAAAGTGTAAAACCATTGCTCAAGGTAACAGACAGCCCATCTCTGGTAAGGCAATCCTGATTACAGGAATGTGGGAAATTTGTATCTGAAAATAAACAAAATAGAGTAAATGCAAAAAAGAAAAATAATTGGAGAGCTAAAAGAAAAAAATCTTGGTGTAGAGGACATACTTCTTGGCATGTGCACATGCATATCATATACATGGGCACACATACGCCACACACGCATGCATGCAGGCTGGTACAGGTATACCAGTGTCCATACTCCTAAATAAAGAAAATCAATACATTCATTCTACAAATATTTGCTTGACTGATTTGCTCTTAGGTGCCAGTCTACAGGATAGAAAAAGCCTCTGCCTTTGGGCAGTTTGTGTTCTGGTCAAATCTCTAAAGGATATTCATTTTCACAGTGGTCTAAGTACTTTTGTTTAAAGGTATCTGTGAATAAGATTGAAGGCCTGGTGTGATTTCTGAAGTTGTATTTTCACCTATTTATGGCCTGCAGTCCACCTGATTTCAGCTTCATTATTCAACACTCATTTAAAATGTTACTTAATTCTCTATCAATACAAAGTTTATTCAGAAGAGGTTTAGTGTGAATTATATGTCCATTCATTTTTGAATGATCATATAATAAGTGCTCAGTAACCGTATCTGGCAAATTCATGAAAAGGCTTGCCTGAAACAATAGCAGTTCCCACCAATCAGTGTTCCTTTGGTGTGTTGGGTGAGGTGAGTAGAAGTGGGTATGTGTCCTGTGGCTATTTCGAGGGGTGCAAATGGATATCTGCAGTGATGCCTCAGAACTTGGTAGCATCAGCTGAGAACAGCCAATTAAACTGCCTTTAATTAAAACCTCACTTTTGTACTGTAAATATTATTAAGGACTTTTGTGAAACAGTTGAAGATAGGTTATAAGGACTGAAATTTTGTTGCCGAAAAACTTGTTTGTTGCTTATTTTTGCAAAAGCCAAGACAATAAATATAGGCTGCAATGTTGTGTTCTTACCAGTATTTTTTAAATTTTTAAAAATCCTTTTAATATTGAGCATCTGAAAATGACTGGTTAATTCTAACTGTATATATACACACACACACAGGTAGTGTTAAATTCCTATGATTTCTACATTTTAAAATTTTGGATTGTTAATCCCATTTTGTTAAAGATAATATTTTTTTTTGGTACAGGGAATTGAACTTGGGATGTTGTACTTGCCAGGCAAGTACTTGTGCCATTGAGCTAGTGTGATTTGTCCTGTAAAGTTAGCATGATCTCCTTGCACACATTGTTGCCCACTAGACAATTTCTTTTTTTGAGCTGTGAGCATTCACAAGCCTGGTGGCTCTTGGGGGTCACATGTAACTTCTGTGCTTCTACAGGTAACTCTGTGGGGATATCTGCTGGCATATCTGTGTGCATCTTTGTCTCCTTCAGTTTCATAATGGGCTAGAGGAAGTGGCTGAAGTTTGGTGATGGGATAGTATCTCTTTCCAGATAATGTTTGTGGAGTTTTTCTGTTATTTTGCTGTGGGATGGGAGGGGAGGAGCTGTGGTAGCCTCCTGCTTCTCATATGCTTTCCAAGTGATTCCCTGGATACCTGTTGACCTGGCAAAGATACTAGCACTCAATTAACTTCAAACTCAAGAAGAATGTTAGGGCAGCTTGGCCACAGTCTCTTCATTTTGGGTGTTTGTATTAATATTTTACTATAAACTCGTGTATTTCTAAGTAACAAAATACTTGCATATTTTCCCCAAAATTCCAGTACTCAAAGGAACAACTAATCATTGGGAGATAGCAGTATCTGTGGTTTGGGGACCTTAATATCGTGGTGACCCCTGGGAGACTGACCAGCCCTGGATATTTGAAGAAGGCACATCTAGAGCTTGGTCTTATTAACATAAACAGGGAACACACTTCTCTCTTGCCATGTTGCTCTAGGGCTATCACCTCTGATAAGGCAGCTGGTCAGCACATCAACAGCCTGTGTGGTGGTTCTGAGGATGAGGAATGAAAATGCAATAATTCCAAATGTTA